AAAAAAAACGCAAACTCCATTTAAATATAAATTCTGTATATTTTCCATCTTAAAGTAAGATTTATTGCAAGAATTAAATAATATATAGAAATAATATATTATCTTAAACTTTTAAAACATACCTCATTCATTACATGTTCCCTCATTCTAAGCCTTTCTTCTTCCATTTCTACCATATCATCCTCTTCATTTTTAGGGTCATATACTTTCTCCAACTAAAAAGAAAAATTTCAAATGAACATGAAAGGAAAGAAAGTAACAAGAAAAAAAAGAAAGAGAACAAGAACATTGAATACTTAATAAACTCATTTACCTCTTTAGTAAATAGGGCTTCTAATTCTTGTTCATCCAGGAATCCATCACTATTAACATCTGAAGTTTAAAAGTTACAAATGCAAAAATAGATTTTAATACCTTAGAAAATAATTAAAATACAATGATTTATAAAAGGTTTACAAAAGTAGTACTGATGTGAGCATCAATAGACTGCAGAAAAGCATTTCTTTTTTTTCATGAAGCTTTAGATCAGCTCAACTGATAAATATGCTATATTTATTTGTAACTCATAATTATTTGTGAGGAAAGCATATCTTGACTATTTTTTCCAAAAATATAAAGTAAAGCAATATTCTATGAGAGTAGAAGTAAAATGTAATATTATAGTATAAAGCCTATCAGATATAACCTAGCTAGTCACAGTATACAGTTTTCAGTTTACAGAGGACTCTGCAATAATTCATATGACTCAACAGTAAAAGCCAGTATAAAGACACAGCTACTGATCTAAAATTTTATACTGCAGGTGAGCAACAAAGACTATCATATTACCCTAGAAAAACTCTAATCATTTACTCTCACTAGATAACTCAATAGCAGACTTTGGCAGAAATCAATTAAGAGGAAAGCAAGTATTTTTTCAAACAGCAGATATAAATATTAATATTTGTATCAAATTGTTACCATGTAATTTGAAAAATGTCTTGGGGTCAAAGTCATTAGGATCCAATCCATCAGTCTCTTCCCATACCTCTTTTAGTTGATCTTTGCTTCCCTGTGAACCAATTTAAAAAAAAATTGCTCAAAACAAAATATAATCTATCTGTATAGACTCAAAATATAAATTTGAGGAACTTTGCATAAGAATCAAGATTTCAGTACTAATAACACGATAAAATTCCGCTGATACAAAGAAGTATCTTTATCTAAAAATGGTTTCATAAAGTCACAATCCTTACTGGATGATTAACTTTAGGGTGATTTTCATGCTTTTTCTTCATTTCTTCAAATTTAGACTCTTCTTCTTTTCTCTTTTCTTCATTCAATGTTTTTAAATATTCTCTCCTTTCATGTTCCTTCATCATTTCATATTTTTTAAATTCTTCATGTCGAGTCTTGTCATAGTGTTCCAGATCACTTGTTGCCTGAAATGCAATAATGCATTTAAGTTAAATAAAAACATGCATTTGAAAAATGTAAATAAAGCCATTCTTGAATATAGCATACTCTTGAACAGATGTGGTACACGAAAGCAAAAACATACTGGATTCCTCTTTTTTAATTCTACCATTTAATTTTAGTCAAGTTTTTTCTTTTTTTTTTTTGTTTTTTGAGACAGAGTTTCACCCGTCACCCAGGCTGAAGCGCAGTGGCATGATTTCAGCTCACTGCCACCTCCGCCTCCTGGTTCAAGTAATTATCCCACCTCAGCCTCCTGAGGCCTCTTGAGTAGCTGGGATTACAGGCACTTGCCACCACCCCCGGCTAATTTTTGTATTTTAAGTAGAGACAGGGTTTCACCATGTTGGCCAGGCTGGTCTTGAACTGCTGACCTTGGGTGATCCACCCACCTCAGCCTCCCAGTGTTGGGATTACAGGCGTGAGCCACCATGCCCAGCAATTTTCGTCACTATTATTACCAGAGATGTAGGTATTCAAATAAACTAAAAGTTCAAAGCTAGCCCCAACTTTAAGAAACTCATCATAAGCAACTAGTATATAAGTTGATTTCAGAAAAAAAAGAAGAAAGGAACTATATCAAATCTAGACAGTATAGAAAACTAAAATAGCTTCTAACCATTGAACTAATCTAATACTTGCCAGGTTAGAACTAATTCCATTCACATATAATGTGAGAGGTCCACAAACTCTTATCTAAAATCTCTGAGGCCAGATGTGCTTCAGAATTTTCTACCTTAAAGAAAGGGAATATGGCACATATGCCATATTATGGAATATCCCTGTAGCATCTGTAATCAAACAGACTAGTATTTCTTAAGCAAAATCTATAAATACTCACACTAAGTAGGTTAAATAAAAACTGTAAATAGTATTACTGTAGTTGGTTTATTCAGGTCAGGTTTCAGTTTTTACAACTTTTGGATTTAGGAATTGTGGATAAGGGATTTTAGACCTGTATGTACATATTAATATCTGTATTAACAAGGGTTAAGCTACCTTCCTTTAAAGATCTTCAACAGAATATATAAAAGTTATATTTCCATTTCATTGGGTTTACTTGTCAAATTACAAAACCTCAAAGGCACAATAAAGACAAAACTTTTTGGAATTATTCTCACCGCTTTGATTAGCATATCTAAATCTGTGGATTCAAACTTGTCAGGATTCAGGTGGTTTAGGTGATCAAATTGTTTTAGAAGAGCTTGGTGGTCCATGCCTATATCTGAAAGAAAATGAGAAAACTGTAAATGATCAATTTCTAGAAGCTAGAAAAATTATAATAATTATACATAAGAAAAAGATTTCATATTTATTCCTACAGGATTTTATAAGGAAATACAAAGTTTTAGAATAAAGGCTTATATTTACTTTATGAATACTGCATATGTTATTCTAGTCAAAGGTAGTGTCCTTGAACCTAGAGTGGAATACAATTTAATATGTGTATTTTTAAAAATTCTCTCTCCTTATTTTTTTTAATTTATTTTTTTTGAGACATGGTCCCGCTCTGTCACCCAAGCTGGAGGGCAATGGTGCAATCATGGATCACTGCATCCTGGACCTCCTGGGCTCAAGCAATCCTCCCACCTCAGCTTCCCAAGTAGCTAGGACAACAGGTGTGCACCACTATGCCTGGCTAATTTCTTGTTTTTAACTTTTGGTAGAGACGGGGTCTCACTATATTTCCCAGGCTGGTCTTGAATTTCTGGCCTCAAGTGATCCTCCCACCTCAGCCTCTCAAAGTCCTGGGATTACCATGCCTGGCCTTATGCTTTATTTATTTATTTATTTATTTATTTATTTATTTATTTATTTATTTATTTAT